GCCCTGCCTGCAGTATGCAAATTAGCCGCCATCTTTGTTGGCGGTTAATTTGCATATCACGCTGATTAGCCAATGGGAAACGTAGTGAAGGTATGGTCAATTACCATGTTTGTCTATTATTAGATAGGATGATCCATTTATCTTTGTACATTATTCAGTCATTGATGTTTCACAGGATCCTGCCCTCTCACAGTTCTGTATTTTTTTAAATAACGTTTTTATTTTTCAATTACCGTTGACATACACTACTATATTATTTTCAGATGTTTAGCCCAGTTATTAGACATTTAAATAACTTATGAAGTGATCACTCCAGTAAATCTAGTACCTATCTGACACCATTTTAAAATGGAAACATTAGGGCACATACCTCACTCCCAGGCTCGATCCCCGCTCCCAGGCTAAATCCCCAGTCGGGGTGCATGCAGGAGGCAACCAATCAATGCGTCTCTCTCACATCAATGTTTCTCTCTGTCTCTCCCCATCCCTTCCATGCTCTCAAAAATCAATGGAAAAATATCCTCGGGTGAGGATTAGAAAAGAAAAAGGAAATGGGCAAATTCTTTTCTCTAAGATTAAAAGAAATTCCTGGTCTTCAAGCTATTTATATCATGTTTATTTATTAGTAGTCAACTTGAAATAGACTAAAAATCCAGTCCAGTGAATGATTTAAAATTTGAGTTCTGCAGTAGAATCATCAGTCCTATTACTTATTCTTATTAGGACCAACCACAGAACATGTGATTAATGCTTTAGCCATGACCATAAACAGGGCTTCAGTGGACTCAAACTGTTGACCTTGGTCTGTTAAGATATAACAGAGCACTGCTTTTTTTTAAAAAAAGTTTATTTACAACTTTCAAGTGATTATTAAAACAATAACATCTGAATTTTTAGAGTTCAGTTCTATAACTATTAACTGTAAACTAGAACTTTCAAAAATATTTTCTTTAAAGCAGAAGTTTAATTGCAATTTAAAAGCCCTAAAGTGTAATGCAGGTTATTTGTGAAAGTTCTCGTTTTTTATAGGGCTTCCCTTTTACTGTTATGACAGTTGTATGATACAAATGTAAGGCAGCAGGTAGAGATTCATCTCATTTCACTTGTGAAAAATCCTATGCATTGTCATTTCTACTCTTTTTGATATGGAATGATAGCTATAAACTTCCCTTAAACTGTAATTGATGCACTTTCACCAGGAGTTTTTTTGGGAGTGGTGGTAACTGGACATGAGTGGGCAGCTGATATTTTTGGTTGTAGAAATAAATTGTAATGTATTAGTCGTGGTGGTTTTATGTCACACGGAAATTTCTGCTCCCATTGTCCTGTTATGTTAGGAATGTGGTTTTAAGGTATAAATGAACTGAACTAATAAGAAGAGGGAATATTCACCCAAAATTACTAGCATTTGGGGGTATTTTTGTATAAGATACATTTCTTTAAAAATTTATTTTAACACTCCCTTAGGTTCTACTGTTCTAGAGGGAGGGACGTGCCTTTCTTACCTCGGGAGGAAGTTGTTTTTATTGGCACAAGGTCCAAGCTATGCTTTCCCCATATCATGTACGTGATTGTTTAAGCCCTCTAGTGCAAAAGATCATTGTGAGTTTGTATGAAATATTTTATATGTAAAGTGAGGAACAGATAACACCACTTGTGTTATCACTTCAGATACACTTGTTTTGGCCGTCCCACAACCACCCATGCATTCGTTATGTCCGTAGAAGAATTCGCAAGACTAAGCATATGGTCGCACTCACAGTTTTATTTATTGTAGTGACACAGCAAAGACACACAGCTGGATGGATCGGTAACGGGGACGGAGATAAGGCAGAGTCTGGAGGAATCCATGTGCAGGCTTCCTAGGTTCTCTCTGAAGAGGCACAGAGAGTGACTCTGAAATGCAATAGCACAGCACAGTGTTTCTGTCCAGGAAAGTCTGTTTGAGATGCTAAGTCCAGGTTTTGTTTTTTGGTGTTTTGGGGGGGGGGGGGGGTGGGGGGGTAGGGAGGGGGCAGTTCGGGCAAGGAGGGACTAAATCATGTAGATACTCTGCCCTTCAAAATTCTAATCTTTCAGAAGAAAAGTAAGTGTTCCTCATAAGTCACATTATTTAAAACTTCTATAGTCAGCACAGCAGACGCAATGTCACATAGGGAAAGCGACAAAAGCCAAGTTCCTAGATGCAGCTGAGGGCCCACCTGGGAAGCAAAGCCTTCTAAAGGTCAGGTCTGCACCATTTGTTGAAAAGCTAAATCTGTCCCCCTGAAAAGTCTTGGTACCCCGTTCAAAATCAACTAACCATAGAGGTTTATCTCTGGACTCTCAGTTCTCTTGATTTCTACACCTTATGCCAGTACCAAGCTGGCACTGATTATTGCAGCTTTGTAGTGACTTTTGAAATCGGAAGGGGTGGGTGTTCCAACTTTGTTCTTTTACGATATTGTGTCGACTATTCCAAATGTATTTTAGGATTGCATTTGCTAATACTTCGTTGAGGATTTTTGCATCTATGTTCATGAGAGAAGTGGTATGACCCACAATGCAAATATTTGGATTGTGGAGCCCACCAAATGAAAGCTGAATTAACTCAATATCATGTACAATAATAATTATGGGCATTTCCTTCCAATGAACCTGATCATCCAGACATCCTTAGAGGCTCAAAGAGGCTGCTTCTGGGCAATTTAACATTCTCAGGATACTT